CCAGGGGCATCTGGCTTTGCTTCATCTCCTTCCTTCCTTCTTTGCCCCACATCCCTAGGGCTTGGTGCCTCCTGGCTCAGGCTGTTTATAAATCCTAATTCCTGGGACCGGCACTGTGGCACAGCAGGTTAAAACCCCAGCCTATAGTACCAGCATCCCATTTAGGCACCGGTTCAAGTCCCGGCTGCTCCACTTCCTATTCAGCTCCCTGCTAATGCACCTGGGAAAGCAGCAGAGGATGGCCAAAGTCCTTGGGCCCCTGCTGCACCCAAGTGGGAGACCTGGAAGAAGCTACTGACTCCTGGCTACTGGCTTTGGATTGGCTCAGCTCTGGCTGTTGGGGCCATTTGGAGAGTGAACCAGTGGATGAAAGACCTCTCTCTCTGTCCCTAGCTCTCTCTGTAACTCTTTAAAGTAAATAAAATAAATCTAAATAAATAATAAATCCTAATTCCTTACTTTGTTCCTTTAATCCCAGGAATTCCTTTCAGTTCAATTTGTTGAGTGGTCCTTGGAAATAAGAGCCTAAGAACTCTCAAATTACCTCTTTCATGTCCTTTTTATATTATCAGTTTATCTCAGCTGGGTAATAAGATGATTGAGTTAATTTATACGAATGTCTAATGACATAGTGAATCATTTTCCAATAAGTATTGAGCACCAGCTATAACCAGGTACTAATATCAGTACTGAGATTGCTGTGATTACAATTCCTGGCCTCTTTGGGTAAATCATATTCTAATGTAGGAGATGGACAATAAAAAGCAATATATTATATTCTAGTATAGTAAATGCTGCTTTAAAACATTCAGCAAGCTAGGTGGTGGGGAAGGGAACCATATGTTTACATGTGGGTGCTGGAGGGTGGTGGTGATGAGAGAGAAGGTTATTTTAGAAAGGCTAGTCAGAAAGGTGCCTCTGAGGAGAACTGGCCTGGCAAGATGGTGGGGGTGCGTGTGGATTTGGAGAGCAATCTCTGGTAGGATTTCCAGTAACCTCAGCTTACCAAAAAATAATAATGTGGATGGGATGAGGAGGTGGAAACTTTTCTAGGATAAAGTCATAGGCCAGAAAAGTGGCACTGTATGGACTCTCCTCATTAGTCATCTGTTTCTCACAGATAGGACTTTAAGCTTGGTTTTCTTCCTAGCTGCCACTTTAACCCTCATCCTTGACTTTAATGCAGATTCTGCCATCACACTGACTACCTAGGCTGTCCTGAGTAGATATCATTCCCAGAACTTGGAAGAAGTGACGCCTTGCTGGACCCATTGTTAAACACACATTTTGTTTGTTTTAACTGGGACATTCTGAGAGCAGAATGTGTCCCTGTTAATAATTCTGCCGAGACAACAGGTGTAAACTGGAAGCATCCTCTGCAAACTGGCTGACTGGTCACTGTAGGTATGTGGTGGCCATTAGCTCTAGCACACAAGGAAAACCAAGATTCCCCCCACCCCACCCCAGCTAAGCATTTGGTCTGCAAGCTGAAATGTTGGCACTTGCATGTTGTGGTGGAATGAGGTGAAAAGGTCATATATGTCACATCCAAAAGTCAAAAAAATAAGTAAAAAAAAAAAAGTCAAAAAAATTTAGTTACTAATTTTATTATCGTACCTTAGGCCTGCTTTTCCAGTTTACTTCCCAGAGGTCCGCCAGGTCCCATCCCACAGCATGCCTCTGCTAGTGTTTCTGCTTCTTCAGAGAGTGGACTGGGACTTCTTAAACCCATTTGCTAGGTTGCTTTGGGCTGCTCCAGGGGTGAGATGTAGTCTCGTCTTCCATGTTGAGGTCCAGGAAAGTGCTTTCCAGCCCTGATACCCTTGTCCAGGCCTTACCAGCCTTGTGTATTTGCCTCTCTGGATCCAAGATGGAATCAGAGGAGCTAGAGTCAAATCCTCACCCTTCTAGTCCCTAGGCTTAGAATATAATAGGAATGCTCTTCATTGCCCCTTTACAAAGTCATGTGATTACAGCTCTAAAAATTATTAAAGGAACATGAGACACACCCTGATTTTTTTTAAAGAAAATATAGAGATGTTGAGATCAGGCCACAAAATCGAAAAAAAAAAAATTTATAATAGACCCCCACTTAAGCTATGACAATAATAATAACAATAGCTTGAGTTTATATTTGATTCAAATGTATTTTGTAGTACAGTCTGTTATCTGAAATCCTATAAAAACTGGGGGAAAATTTTTTAAGTGTTTCAGAAACTTATTTAACAGAAAAGTCTTATTTGAATTGGTATGAGGCTTATATACTCTATTTATTTTAGTTGATGTAAATATTCATGTTTTGCTGCAGAAAAATTAATGTTTATTACTTGCCCAAACTCCAAAGGAAGATATTATATAATACCTGATGGATGTACCACATTATCTGTCTCAACACTTCTGACACAGAAGATTCCTGAGAAGAGATTTAGACTCCATAGATTTAGTAATCTATTACTCATTTTCAGTTTATAAGTCCACAAATTAGGCAAGCACAGATCTCAAAACAAATTTGTCTCCGGCTTGGTTGCTGTTCCCTGAATGGTCATTAGTTTGGGAACAGCTTATTATTAGTTTCTAGTTGAAGATTTAGTATCCTAAGCCTTTGGAAGGAAAAAAAATAACAGTGATTTGACAGATAATAGATAAGTAAATAAAAATAATGAAGAACCTATAGAGCCCAGAACTCCATTCCCCACTATTGTGCTGTGGAAAGAAGAGGCCACACCCATCACCTTCATGCAGGGGCACAGAGTGGTCACACGCGCCCTCCATTTTCACTTCGTGCTGAGTGTGTGATACACACACTCATGCCCTCATGGAGCATAACCAAAGCCTGCAAACACAATTTCACACCTTTTTTCTGAGTGAAAACAAAAACAAACAAACAAACAAACAAACAAACAAACAAAAACCTTAGGACAAGTAGTTACGTGTTTTTTATTGGTTTAGAAAAAGGCTTTTCTATTTTTCTAGAGGAGCATATTGTTCCTCACAGCCAAATGTGAAGGGGGAAGTGTTAAATATTTGTTTTTTTACTCTCTGACTTTAACTGTATGGCAGCCAGGCTGCAAGAAAACTGCTGGTGATTCTTACTTCCTGTATTCAATCCTTGGGTAGTCCCTTTCATAATGAGTGGGGCTGACCTGTGTTACCAGCAGGATCTTGCGGACGTGATAAAGCATGACTTGCAGGGTTAGGTCATAAAAGGCATTGTGGTTTCTGCCTCGATCTCTCTTGGAGCATGCACTTTGGGGAAACTAGTTGCTATATAATGACAATGTTCAAGTAGCCTTATGGAAAGGTTCGTGTGGCAAGAAACTAAGGCCATCAGCTAGCAACCAGCACTGAATCGCCAGACTTCACTGGTACCTGTCAAGCCTTTAAATGATTGCGGCCCCAAGCAACAACTTCAAGTTCATCAGATACTCTAAGCAAGAATAACCAAACTGCACCACTCCTGGAATCCCAATCCCTAGTAGCTGAGAGAAGCAAATAATATTTGTTGGAAGCCACTAGATTTTGAGTAATTTATTACATAGTAATAGATAACCAAAATACCTGGAACTCTGACTCAGAGAAAATATGGTGATTTTTCTGTTTATGAAAATAATAATATTCTTACTATAAATTTAAAACAGATATATATGTGTGTATATATATATGATTGGGAAAATGAATATATACTAAAATGTCATCTTTTTTGTAATTTATTACATGTAATTCCAGATTGTCTATGTGCAGATGCTAGTATGTGTATGTATATACAAACATGTGTTAGTGTATGTGGGTGCTTTGTTCAGAGATACTGGGTTATATTCAGCGTACTGTCCTACAGCTTGAATAAGCCAATTATCTCTGTACATCTTCCATGTCATTTGTTAAACAAGTATGCATAAAAATGCTGTACCAACATAAACATCTTTTGATTCAGTTTTCCACAAAATTGGAAGAGTACCATCATAAATCCCCATATATTTTATGGACATATATATGGACTATTGGAGAATTTTTGATCTGTTGCAAATTTCCAACAGTACAGATAATAATACAGTGGACAAACCTATGGATAAACCTGTGGGATGTATTTCCAGAAGAAGAAATACTGGATGAAAGGTTGACATATTTAAAATACTTCCCACTTACCCTCTCCAAAAGTGCCAGTGTATTTGCTCAGAGAATGTATCTGTTTCCTTATACCTTCAGCAACACAAAGTATCCACAATCATTGCGAGGCGGGTTGGTAAAAACTGACTGTTTTCTTTTGTTCTTGTGTTGATAGTCTTTTTTGGTTTCTTGGTTACTGATATTTATTCTGTTTAGAATTATTTATCTATCTTTGCCCATCACGATGCTAGGAGTGTTTTTGTTGGTTTGGTTTTTATTTATTTATTTGAAAGTCAGAGTTACAGAGAGAGGGAGAGACAGATTCTCCCATCACCGGTGTACTTCCCAGATGGCCATATGGCCAGGGCCAGGCCAGGCCAAAGCCAAGAGCCAGGAGCTTCTTCCAGGTTTCCCATGTGGATGACAGGGGTCCAAGCACTTGGGCCGTCCTCTGCTGCCTTCCCCAGGCTACCAGCAGGGAGCTGGATCAGAAGCAGAGTAGCTGGGACTTGAACTGGCCCAAATATGGGATGCCAGCATCACAGGTGGTGGCTTTAACCCTCTACTCCACAATGCCAGCCCAAATACTAGGTTATGTATCTTATATATTGATTGGTAAAAATTCTGTGTTTTTATATATTAAGCTCTTTTCCTAAAATATCTTATTGACCATTTCCCCCAACTTTTTGTTGATACTGTAACATTTTTTGAATCATATTTTGGACTTTTTCATCATAACTGAATGATGCGTTATGTGAAGATTGAATTAGACTTCCCAACTCTGATTGAAAAGTAGCTAGAATGAAAATGATAAATAAGCCAGAAAGCATCTCCTACTTCTGTGTTTAACTTTGGTATCAGTGACCCAGTTGGTTTGGATTTCTGTTTCCTTCTAGCGTACCAGGTACTACCTGCACCGAATTCCCAGAAGCCGTGAGGTTCAGCAGTCCTGGCTCTCCACGGTGATCAGCACTTTGCATTCCATGTGGGTGTCCTTCCCCCTGATCTACCGAGTGAAGCCTGATCTGGTATGTAAGACCATCATAGGGAGAGGGATCTTAAATCTCCTGGGAATCTTTCATTAGTTAACAAGATATATTGTTTTCTTAAACAGCTGCCATTTATTAGTGTACCAATGGAGTACTAGCCTTTATATTAATGAATATTAAAAACTTAGCCATTAAATTGCACTTTGCTGTAACAGATAAGAAATACACTTTCCCTTTCTAGCTATACCTTGATCTCTAAGTTTGGCCTTTTGTCTTCCTTGTCCCCAGTGATTACCACTAGCATATAAATATCTTTAACCAATTTTTACATGTATTCACCTGTGTTTCCTAGCTGGCATCATGTGCTTGTCAAGCCAAAAAGGGCCAATCATTTACTCCTTTTCTTTCTTTTTTTTTTTTTAAGATTTATTTACTTTATTTGAAAAAGTTACAGAGAGGTAGAGGCAGAGAGGGAGAGAGGTCTTCCATCTAGTGGTTCATACCCCAGATGGCCACAATGACTGGAGCTGTGCCAATCCAAAGCCAGGAGCCAGGAGCTTCTTTCAGATCTCCCACGCAGTTGCAGGGGCCCAAGGACTTGGGCCATCTTCCGCCGCTTTCCCAGACCAGAGCAGAGAGCTGGAATGGAAGTGGAACAGCCAAGACTCAAACTGGTGCCCATACGGGATGCCAGTACTGCAGGCAGTGGCTTTACCGGCTAAGCCGCAGCACTGGCCCCTGCTCATTTTCAATTGCCATTTTTGTTTTTGTCACAGCTCTGTTACCAGATATGGCATACAGTAGGCAGAATGTCATACAGACTCAAGTTTTATGGGAAAAGAATATGGGAGTTAGAAAGGTGAAAATTTCATTAGTGCAGTCTATGTTCAAACTTACTTTCCTCATCTGTGGAAGTCTTGAGTTCTCTGTGGTCTTTAGAATGAATTCCTATTATTAATTTTTTTAAGAGTTACTTATTTTATTTGAAAGGCAGTTACAGAGAAGCAGAGGCAGAGAGAGAGATATCTTCCATCTGCTGGTTCACTCCCCAGATGGCTTCAGTGTCCGGAGCTGAGCTTATCTGAAGCCAGCATCCGGGAGCTTCTTTCAGATCTCCCACGTGGGTTCATGGGCCCAAGGACTTGGGACATCTTCCACTGCTTTTCCAAGCCATCACAGGGAGCTGGATTGGAAGTGGAACAGCTGGGACTTGAACCGGCACCTGTATGGGATGCCAGCACTGCAGGCGACAGCTTTACCCATTATGCCACAGCACTGGCCCCCTGAAGTTCTATTATTGAATTCCAAATGTATTTCAGTGGACAATGCAGGTCAGTGGATAGGATATCACAGTGGTGTACACAGTTTGTGAATAATAATACTCCCATTCCTGTAGAAGGCAGAATCCTTTAACTGGCATAACCTGAAAGGAAAGTCTTTACTTGCTTTGTGGATACACAAGTTCTGGCACAGTTTATGTTATTCTTGTGAATGGTTCAACAGACATGCATTTAGCTGCCATGATTTGGAAAAGTCTCTATGAATTTGGTCATCACCTTTCTTCAGCTAGCTTGTAGTGCAAGTCCTTCTTTAGGATGAGAATTTTAAAAGCTAAAAGCTGAGTTTCCTGCATGACTCGTGAGATTGTTTTTAAAAAGATATCATTTGTACAGTGAAACACAGAGACTTTAAGTGTGTAGTTTGACCACACCCCTTTCAAGATACAGAACATTTTCCATCACCCTGGAATATTTTCTCCATTTCTTCTCAACCAATCCCTGCCCCTAAATAACCACTGTTCTTATACCTATCACTATAATTTTTTAATATTTCTTTTCAAATACTTGACAAAATGAGTTTATCTCAGTCTCCAACCACATGTCTAGTAAGTGGAATTATATTTCCCTAAAAGATTATTATTGTCCCAAAAAGTTTAATTTATTTATCTTTTTTTAAAGATTTATTTATTTATATATTTAGTTGAAAGGCAGAGTTACAGAGTCAGAGGCAGAGAAGGAAAGAAAAGTCTTCCCTCCATTGGTTCACTCCCCAGATGGCCACAATTGTTGGATGCGGGCTGATCCAAAGCCGGGGTCCCAAGGACTTGGGCCATCTTCTGCTTTCCGGGGCCAGAGTAGAGAGCTGGATCAGAAGTGGAGCAGCGTGGACTTTAACCGGCACCCATATAGGATGCCAGCACTGCAGGTGATGGCTTTACCCACTACACCACAACACCAGCCCCTTAATTTATTTCTAAAACTCAAGAGATAAGCGAAAGGGAAGAAAATGGCTTCAGTATTTTAAACTGGAAATTTTAGGTTCACATTTACTAACTCACAAGAGAGGTGTGGCCATTTCCATTGGCAACAGTGAGCTTCAGGGCTCATTCATCAGGACTCAGAGCTGTTAATGCTTAGGAGAAAACCATGCGTGGTGGGTGTCATACAGTGAGTTCAGAGCAGCTCCGGGGACTGTCTGGCCTACGTTTCTGATCCTCTTGCACTGAGATAGCTTGAGGGATGTGGGACACATCCTTGTTCCAGTCCCACTGTGGCTTTTATTTTGTTTTAGTCAGTTCCCTTTTGGCCCTCATTCTGCACCTTAAAATGAAAGAATTGAACTAAATCCATGTCAGCTTTCTTCTAAACTAGACTAAATTTGTATGAGCACCATAAATTTGCTTGTAAAAAGTGGAAGGGGGAAAAAGATTATGATGTTACTAAGGAACAAGAGGAGAAAGGGGTAAAGGTAAAATACGTATTTCCATTTTAAACTGAGTTAGTTAAAAAAATTATCTGAAACCTGAAAATTATCCAATCAGCTACTGTAGTATTGTTGGCATTTCCAAGTGAGCTCCCAGTTAGTGGATTCCCTTTTACAGAAAAGAGAGTTAGGTTGTCTTTTTCATTTATTTCATTTTATTTATTTTTGCTGTATTGAAAAGAGAACTATAACATGCAGATCTCTCCCATATTCATCTGCAGTGCATTGAACGTTTGTGCCTCCTCAAAATCCTAACTGCCAGGTGAGAGTGTTAGAAGGTAGCACCTTTGGAAGGTGATCAGGTCACAGGGGCAGAGCCCTAAGAAGTGGGGTTAGTGCCTTTATGAAGGAGGTCCAGGAATGATCTCTTGCGCCTGCCACTGTGTGCAGTTGCAGTGAGAAGTCTGTCTGCGAGGAAGCAGGCCCACACCAGCAGCTGAATCAGCAGGCACCTTGAACTTGGGCTTCCTGGGCTCCAGACCTGTGAGAAGTAAATATCTGGTTTGCAAGCCCCTCAGCTTATGATATTTTGTTACAATAACCAAAATGGACTAGAATGTCATTGTTAGCTTTTTTATGACTTTCATCACAGAGCATCGTTCCTTCTTTAAAAAAAAAAAAAAAGTCTAGGGAAAAGCCCTTTTAGAAACAATAGCTGCAACAGTCTTTATAATGAAAATTACCACAGTTGTCCAAACAGCTTTAACCTTACACCTGAATTCCTAAGTCTGCTGATCCATTCAGTTGTCTCTAGCCCTCACTTTGTCATCTACAAAACATAAAAACACTTCCTTATTTCTTGAATGTTTTAGGGTTTTGAAATGGAGATTCTGCCTGGTACTAATAGCTAACATGTATTAAGCAGTGATATGCATCAGACCTGGTACTAAGCACTTTGTATGCATGTCAAATGAGAAAGATAGTAATGCTACTCCCATTTAATGGAATTGGAAACTGAGGCTATAAGATGTGAAGAGTTTGTACAACCAATAAAAGACAGAGCCAGGGGCCAGCACTGTGGCACAGTGGGTTAACGCCCTAACCTGAAGCGCAGGCATACCATATGGGCACCAGCTCGAGACCCAGCTGCTCCACTTCCAATCCAGCTCTCTGCTATGGCCTGAGAAAGCTGTAGAAGATGGCCCACGTCCTTGGGCCCCTGCACCTGCAGCGGGACCCAGAAGAAGCTCCTGGCTCCTGGCTTTGGATCAGCTCAGCTCCAGCTGCGTAGCCAATTGGGAAGTGAACCAGCAGATGGAAGACCTCTCTCTCTCTCTCTCTCTCTCTCTCTCTCTCTCTCTGCCTCTCCTCTCTCTGTGTAACTCTGACTTTTAAATAAATAAATAAATATTAAACTGTTAGGAGTTTCTGAATGTGTGAAAAGAGAGAATGCATTAGAAAGCCTATTCAGTACTGTAATCAATACAGTTATTCTCAAGTGTTGAAACTTAACTGAAAAGTGATCGCTGTTAAATATAAGAGTGGGAATAAGAGAGGGAAGAGATGTGCAATTCGGGACATGCTCAAGTTGACTTACCTCAAATGGTAGAGTTAGAAACATACCAGGGGATTCCAATTCAATCCCATCAAGGTGGCATGTACCAATGCCATCTCATTAGTCCCGGTGATCAATTTCTGTTCACAATTGATCATAATGATAGGACTAAGAGCCAAAGGGAGCACATAAACAAGAATAGTGTCTGCAAATACTAGCTGATAGAATAAAAAAGGGAGAGAACGATCCAACATGGGAAGTGAGATACACAGCAGACCCATAGAATGGCAGATGTCCTAAACAGCACTCTGGCCTCAGAATCAGCCCTTAAGGCACGCGGATCTGGCTGAAAAGCTCATGAGAGTATTACAGGCATGGAAAGCAAAACACTCTGGCAAAAACAAACAAACAAACACCTAAATGAAAGATCTCCGCAAGTGAGATCCCAGTGAAAAGAACAGGTCATCAAAGAAGGAGGTACCTTTCTCTGAAGGGAGGAGAGAACTTCCACTTTGACTATGACCTTGTCTAAATATGATCAGAGTTGGTGAACTCAAAGGCTTCCATAACCTTGGCAGCTCATGACAAGAGCCTAGGGTGATTACTGATGCCATAAACAAGAGTGTCAATTTGTTAAGTCAACAACAGGAGTCACTGTGCACTTACTCCTCATGTAGGATCTCTGTCCTTAATGTGCTGTACATTGAGATTTAATGCTATAACTAGTACTCAAACAGTATTTTTCACTTTGTGTTTCTATGTGGGTGCAAACTGTTGAAAT